CCCTATAACTAGCCATTGTATCAAAGGGTAATGGAATTATCACTTATTAAGGGTGAATCACTATTTCGTACATATATATCCTACCTCCTGACCTGACTGAAACAAAACCACACAAGTATTTTCACTTCAATTTCACATAATATTTTCCAATATCTTCTTTGTTAGGAGACCACAAATTATTTATTCCAGGTGAATGTGAGCACCAGTTTAATAACGTCCTTTGTGTTAACACAGCATTGCACAACAAATGTGGCATTTTTTTCTGCCCAGTGCTAAGCATTAAGGAGGTGCACATGTTCCAATAAAACCTTGTTTAAATCTCCCTCCCTTAATACACTTAACTTACAATCCAGTAATGTGAACGAGTCATTTGGTTATTCCAACATGCATATTCTTGAATTTATCAACATCATCTGCTGTGCTTCCCTTTTACCCAGCTTCCTTGGATTCCCTTTTCAATTTCTCAGTCATCTTCAATCTTGCCTAATCAAAATACTTGTGCATCATTAGCAAGTTTTGGCACACCATCATTCATCCAGTTTATTAGATCACCAACATACACATGCAACACCCTCTTTTCAGACTTGTTTTTACATCACGTAGTGCTTTAAGGTTTACGTTACCTTAAAGTAAGAAAAAAAAAAAGAGTATTCCTAAGTCATAAGCGAAAGTCCATTCCTGCAGAACTGGAGAGTGGTAGCTCCCAAAAGACCCACTTGGTGTTGAGCCAAGATCAAATGCTAAACTCTTCACATGAGCAGAACACAAGAGTGCCACAACAGCTACAGCTCATCAGAGCAGGGCTGTAGCAGGTCAGTTTTCTCTTCTCCCCAGTATATCACCCATCCAACATCACATACCCTTTGGTTTAGAAAACCTGCTTAATAATAGATAAATCTATGCTTAATTAGCACTAAGTTTATAGTCCCTTAGGTACTTTCAGAAGTCTCCCACATACAGTTTATAGGATGTAAGACTGCCTATTAGGGCAGCAATGATGGAGGGGGATATATTTTAACCCAAATGTGCACGTTCCTCTTACATGCTATGTACTGCACCAGTCTTGAATCATTAACTCCAGACAGCATTTTGAGCATGGATTTGCTGACCTTGAGTAGCACTTTAAAGGGCAATCTTTAACACTTCTCTACTTTCCTCTGCATCTAAAGCAAAAAATACCAGTCACCATTGTTCAGATGGAATTCAATTTGCATAGTTACACTACCTTGATTTGACCACAATCTAATCTTGCCAAATCACTAAACCTGGGACAAATTCCACTAGATTCTACGTGGACATCAAATGTTTAAGACAGTGAAATTAAAATGCTCCTAATCCCTCAAACCTTCACATGAAGTCATCCTTGAATTGAGCAAATTTACTTTCAAAACATATTTCATTATATTTATATATTAACAAGTAAAAAAACCCCAACCAGATTTAGCTAGTGAAAATCATTCTCCTTAATTCCAACGAAAAACAGCTCAAACTGTGCTATCTTAAAGGAATCAGTAAAACCAATACCGAGATTTTTTGCCTACCAAAGCATCAACTGTGAATGAACAGATTAGTATCATTTAAAGGTTTATTTAAGCACAATAGGTGCAAGCAGGAGAGGATAGTGCATGTACCTGCTCAACAAGGAAAGCTGAATCAAATTTACATCCAAGGACTAATAGTCAAAACCAATTCTGATTCTTCATAATTAAGCTGTACCTTGATACATCTTTAGCTCAGCAAGCTCCAGTTTTGTGGGGGAAAAGGAAAATGACCATCCCATTATCCTACACAACCCAAAAATACTGCCTCCAAATCACACTATTTCACAAGAGAGACGAAGGCCAAGTCAACAGAACACACACAACCTGAAACAGCAGCTAAATGACAGCTTTTGGACACTTGGACATCCACCTCATTGATGCTTTCCCACTGCAGAGCTCTCCTCACTCCCTGCAACAGCCCAAAGGAAAAAGGGAGGAGTCACAAACTGTAGCTCCTGTTCTTGAGGCTATTTCCACACTTGTGAGGAGCCCGATTCCTTCACAGTGTGCCAGATGTCTCCTCACGCATCACTTCTTCAGCTCCAAATGCAGACTGCCTTAAGCAGAAGATGGCCACCCCACAAGACAGGCTACGCTTGCTGTGGACACGGATGGGATCTGGCACAGCCAGAGGAAGCTGTGAGTAACTGCTGAGTTTTGAGGAAGATGGGGGTTAGACAGTGGAACCCAAATCATACTTTTACCACAATCTTGGACTTCAGCACAGGTCTGTCTCAGTTCCTTTAGGACCTACTCTTTCATTTCTGTTTTTTAATAAACATTCTAAGAGGTGGAGGCAGCAGCTTTCACAAAGTCTCTGTATAGAGAACCACTAGATTTAACAAATAGAAACAGACCTTTGCACATAAAGTTTCAGTGCCTGTTGTGCACAGGCATGCTCCTCACAGAAGGAACATCCACAGGGTAAGGGTTTGCTTTCAAAGACCAGGATCTATCTCACTGTAACTCCACAAAGTGTAATAGGCCAAGGCACGCTGCACTCCATGATGGACTAAGACATAAAAAAGACTTTTATGGCATCTGCTCAGCATAAAAATTAAGCCTTTACTGAAATCTCCTTGTAATTGAGCTGGATGCACATGCACAAATTTATTGCATACCAAGTATTACAGCCTGGCTCCTGCAAAGACTTGTATACATGTTTATTATTATGGGTAGAAAAGAAATTCTGCGGTTTCAAAAGCACTGTTCATGAGCATGAATTTAAGCACATGGGTGGGTCTTCTGCAGGAGCAGGACCCAAATGCACCTGAGCAGTGCTGCCTGCTGAGAACCTCCTACCTTTTGTATCCCATCAGTAGTTTATACCCCCACCTCAGCTGACTAATCATTGCAACAGAGAACTCGCTTTCAGCTGAGGAGCTAGAGTTCAATTACACTTTTCACACTGCATATATCTATGCTAAACTTGAATTCAGATTAAAATGAGCTCCTTAAGCAACATTTAATCAAACACAGCCTCACCGGATATTAAAAGACGCAGAATGATACATCTTTTAGCTTAAAAATGTTTTGGCTGCAGTGGTACCAAATAAATGTAGAAAAAAGAAGCCACAAAGTTACCAGAAACATGCAGACAAGTCTTTTAACATATTAAATACTTTCTCCAAAATTGGAGGAATCACTGGTGGCCAAGATAAGTTGCTAAGTACACCAAAGCAGATGCACTTCATAGAAAGCCATTCCATACGTAAGTTACAACTGAGTCACAGGCCTCTGCTGGACAAGAAGGACCAGGCGAAAAGTCAGTCACTGGTACTGACACTGGTTGCTAATTCACCCTCACCCTGCACAAAGCTGCTTCTACTGTTACAGAAACACTGGAAAGTTATGCTTAAAACTGGAAGTATATATATATATATATATATGTATATATGTACATAGAGCTCGGTTTGCTCAGCACAGAGATCAGTCCTGCAGCCCTTGCTCTGGCCTTTACCCACACCTCCGGATCCTCCAAGTCTGCATGGAGATAGTCGTGCTTCCCAGCTTCTCCCACGCAAATGGAGAGGCAGAAGGGATGGCCACAACCTCTGCCACGGGTTTTTGGAGCTACCTTTTAGCTGATGGGCTGCGCTTCAAAGCCTAAATGTGCAAAGCTCCCAACTTTTGTATCACAACGCATTAGACACACACAAGTGCCCTCTGCCTGTAAGCAACTCTGGCACAGCCTCCTGAAGAAACCAAACTAAGTTGAGGAAAGTACTGCCAATACCAGAGCAGGGCCTAAAGCTTATTTGCATCCTTATACTATCAACACACGCTGTATTTTATAGCATGTAACAAGCACTAAATGTCAGTGGCAGACCCCCCAGAGGGCAAGAGCAAAAGCTGTATAAACTATTTTGTCCCTCATACTCGATAGGACACACTCTGAGCTGGACAACCAGAGAGCAGGTCCGGCTGGGACTGCCTCCCCTAACGGCTCTCACCCCCCAAAAAGACCTGACTACCTTCTCTCGTAAGATGGAGGTTGGCAGGTGGTGGCTTGTGATTTGGGGGGAGCCATTTTATACATACAGTTTTCCAAACTCTCAAGAACTTCAGCATAGAAAAGTGCCTTTGGAATAAGCAAACCCAGGAGCCATCATCCGCACGGAGTTTAAAGACAACAGAAAGAACTGGCTTCTGGTAAAAGCGTTTCTTTCAGCTACAGCTTCAGGCTACATGCCAAAAACCCCAGATCACTTTTTGGGTAACAACACACTGAATCCAAACCTTTACTGTTACATTTACTTACTGTTACCTTACAGTGTTTGTTCCCACCTTATTAAAGTCCCAAACAGCCCAAGAGTTGCTTATGAATGGCAACATGCGAATATTTTATGCAAATCAGAGCTACAACGTTCTCGATAGGAAAGCCCCAGCACACATAATATCCACATACCGCACATACATTATCTAACGCTCGTCCCAAATACGGCCCGATAAAGAGAGCTCGGCTGAGACCTTCACAATTCATCGACGCCGCCACATCAGGAATAAGGGTAGATGTCATTCCTGCCTGCACAACTAGGCGTTAGAGCTGCTGAAGACGGCCACTTTAGCCTTAACTGTAACTAACAAAGAACAAGGTAAACCCCCGAGCGGGGGGAAGACAAACACAGGCACACCGCGCTGTAAATACGAGCAGCCTGCCCGTCCCCAGCTGCTTCCAATACCTCTTGATGATACAAACGCCGCGTTATCTGGGTGCCTACCGGATTGAATTCACGTGTGGAAGGGCCACCAGAGGCTTGTTTACCGCAAGTCACCGACTGCCATTTGTAACCCAAACTTAGCTATTTCGGTAACTTACAAACAGCCGCGTTCGTAGCTGCACACCGAAGAGCATAAGCTCCCGCGGAGTAAAAGGCTGATTCAAAGTCAGCGCGGCTGGCTGATAAGCGGCGGGGACGCGCTCCAGCCCAAACTCCATTGAACTCCGCAGCTCCTTACCTGCTCGGCGGCGGCTCCGGCGTTGTGCGCTCCCGCAGCAGGCTGAACGGGAAGGGAGGCTGGAGGGGAGGCAGACCCGCTCCCGCCGCCCCGGCCCGGCCACCGCGGGGAGCTTCGGCGGGGCGGCCGGGAGCTGGGGGGGGGCCGGGGCGCGCTGAGCTCGGCTGCCGCCCGCGGGGTGCGGGCAGGAGGGAGGCTGAGCGTAAGGGAAGGAAGGAGGGGACTGGTGTCCCGCGGGGGCGAGTGGGGCCAGTGGCGGGCGAGCCGGAGGCGGCGGGGCCGGGGCAGGGCTGGGGCCGGGGCGGCGCGGGGAGTCACGGCTTAGGAATGCCAGGAATGTGGGGCGGCCGCGGGGCCCGGAGACGTCGGGGACGCGACTTGGGATTTCCTTTCTCTTTTTCTCTCTTCTTTTTTTTTCTCTTTAAACTACTCCCCCTTTCCCCAAGGAAGGAGGAGGGCCGAAACCCACCCTGCGGAGGAGGGAAAAGGAGGAAGAGGAGGGCGCAGGCTCCTGCCAATCCGGACGGGTGCCTTCGGCAGCCCTCCCGAGGAGGGCAGAGCTGCCAGGTGCGGGGCGCCTGCTTTGCCTCGACTTTCCCGTCCCGTCCCTCCCATGGCCCCGGCCCTGCGATCCCGAGGGGTGTCGCGGCCGGGAGCCGCTACGGGAGCCCGGGTGGGGTGGGAAGGGAAGCTCGGCTCGGCACAGCACGGGCCTCGGAGCTCCGGCGTTCTCTCCCGTGCGCAGGGCCGCCCGCTGCCTCGCTTCTGCAGTTCCACAAGCCCCTGCGCATCGCCCGCTGGCTTGGCACTAGAGCATCGCTTCTTCTGCCCTTCAGATCTGCACTCCTGCTTTTCCCATTTCAGACCCTTCGGTCTCCTGCGTTCTGTGTGACCCTCGCTTCTATAAGGATGGTCATCCCTGCTCCTCCAGCTGCCCACTGAGCAGGAGACAGGATGAAAATACCTATGGTGACCTCATGCATGTGCCTTGCTGGATAGCAAGCAGGGGGAAAACTGAAGTTGGCTTGAAACGGGGTGGTTGGTAACTACACGAAATGCCCAGAGCACTTGGTGCTTTGCAGGTGCAGGAAAGCCCTCCTGATAGCTGCTCTAAGAGACAGTAGGGACACAGAGTGCAAAGAGTGTCATCAGAGTGGCTGGGGCTACCAAGGGATGTTGAATGGATCACACCGGCCTAAGAATGGTGTGAGTATTAGGCATGACATGTAGATGCTTCTGCATTTCATCAATGATAGACAATTTGCAGGATGGTTTTGTCCTTAGACTACATTAATATAAAGTGATTCACATCCCTCAAAGTGTATACAAATGCTTCTGGTACCAATGGGCACCTGCAGAAGGTATCCCTCTGAAACTGTGACACCAGAAATGAAGGACTCTTACAAACATGGCAAATGATGAAAAATAGTGATAAATAAGAACTGATACCAGTTTTGAGTTGCTGTGCTTTTTTGCCTTTTGTACATGTTACTGAAGGAGTACGTGAGCAGATTCGTTGGAGTCAGGCTTACTCAGATTATTAATGGCAAAGAGGATCAGGAGCTGAGAGATGGAGAAATAACACAGATTCCTGATTTGGATAGATAAGTAATTGTATTTAAATACTGTATGTGGAATCACAGGCTTATGCCTTACCTCTGGCATAATATTCTAATTACATTTTTCAAGGAAAGTCCTTTTCATCTGAGACTCAAACATTTTACAAACACCACACCTTAATGAAGTAAGTAATTATCCCCATTTTACATATGGCTACACTGCGGCACTAAGAAGTGACACCATGTAACAGCTGAACTTGAACTATACTTCACCACATGTAGATACAGAGCTTTTGAGTAACAATCTGAAAGAAACATCAGGTGTCAGAATGAGGTGATAAGATGGTTCGTAGAGGGGCTGCGCTCTGCATTTATGCAGCTCAGCTTTATGCCAGAAAACAGCTTTCCCTGGCTGAGTTGAAAGTTGCCCAAGAGGACAGCGTGCATCAAAACTAGGGTTTAAATTGTCTGGTTCCCAACAGGTTCTCCCCATGGTGGGGCAGGTGTAAGGATCCTGACTTTTGCATCTGTGCCTCAAGGCAGTGGCTACCTGAAGTCTTTTAGTGGAATTCCTGTTTTGCCCCTGGACACTTTCACTGGTGCCTGCATTTGAAGTAAACTTAATAACTGCAAATGAAATAATGTGGCAAGAAGCACAAACATGCTGACAGATGTGAAGGTTTGGAGGGGAGATTTTATGTGTTGGTTATCTACAGGATGTGGGCCTCCAGAAGAACAAAAACTACCTAGAAGAAATACAACCAGAGTAATTGTCAGCAAGAGCTCTTACTAAAAGACCAGCTGAACCCACTCTGTAAAATGAATTGTATTTCAAACTTACCCAAGCAAAAGAAGCTCCCAAAACTGGGAATGGTGAAGATTATTACTTTTCCATGAGATTACTTAATGCAGTCTGTATTAGACTCTCAGAGACTGCAGGTGCTTTAGAAAAACCAAGCTTCCCAGAAATTATAGCCAGTTACCACAAAGAGTCTTCCATAAGGAAATGTGTTGGTGCTACTACAGCTTTCTGGGACCATTGAAACCTGGAATCTTCACATGCATCTTTGTTCCCTGACTGCTGTCAGGATTATACAACCCTGGGATTAAACCCAACAGTTCCTACCTGCTTCCTGGGGAATGGTTTCATAAAATGCTAAAACTAGATGAGATGATCCTCACACTATGTTAAAATGATACAAATCACTAATTTGGTTCCAAACCCCTGTTCTGGTTCAAATTTGTCCAGTAAACCTTGATGGTAAATCTTCTATCAATCAGATGTAGACTGGGTTATGTATTACCCTTCTGTGCTGCTGGGGAACCATGTTACAGCAATTTGTTACTACTTTTTTATCTGCAAAAGTGACAGCTCTAAATCGTATTTAGAGACTCTATTGACTTGCTGTAATGATTTATGGACTTTACCTCCAAAATATTTCCTCTACTCTGATATAATTTAAATTTTATACTGGTTCCTTCTGCAATTTCATCAGCATGAAATGGGGAATAACTTATTGACAGGACTGTACCTTGGTTACCTTAGCTACCAGCCTTCGGTCTGATCTCAGGCATGTAGCAGCACATCCCTGTGTCTTAGTTTTCTTATCTGAAAACTGAGATAGTGATAGTGATCTGAAGAAGTGCTTTTTGAGTCGCAGGTGAAAACACTGTATAGGAGAGAGACTTCCCTTTTTTTTTCCAAACTGTGGTTTTGACAGGCCTGAATGCTGTCTCAAAACCCTTGTGAAAGTAAAGCTCAACACCATGCAGTTAGCTATCAGCAGAAGAAAACTGATTTTATCTGGGTCAAAATACAGGAGACATTTGGTATGTCAATGTTATCTGCAGCTATGTGCAATGAATTTTGAAGTGCCTTAGAACCTTGCTAGCAAAACCTCTTTTAACCAACTTTTGAATGTGTTTAAATTGAGGCTAAAGTTAGAGTCTTGAGTCTTGTTATAACATGGAAAAATCTCAGTCTTTGTTGGCTGGTAAACCATGTCATAACCTGTTTCATATAAAACTGTCTTTAAGCTGTGCTTAAGCAAGAGCTGGTGGTTTCTCCTGTGAAGAGTAGATGAAGTTTAATTAGTCTTACAGTCATCTACATTACAATCAAATCAAAGAATGCAGTTGCAACACATTCCCAATTTGTATTGTAAATGTGACCCTAACTGTGTTCCTAAAATCTGTCATGTGCTACAGCTGGGTACACTGACCTGATTGTAACATAAGGAGAAACTTCGTGCACCAGCAGAAATTCCCATTCTGAAAATCATATTTGTTCTTAATAAACTTACAAATATTTGAAACTTACAAAAAAGCAGAAGCAGAAGTGGAGGAGGGGGGAAGTTTACTTCTCTAGTATTTTGGACTCTCATTAATTATTCCATTTAATAGTGCTTCTCAAAATCATCTCTTGGAAAAGGAATTTGGATTACCCAATGTTGGAAAACAAACCTGTTGCCACCAAGCATGAGCCAACATGTTCTAGTACTCTACGGCTTATCACAAGTGAGCCAGCACCCAGTTTTGAAGAGCAGAAAAAGTCTTGGTTGATTATCTGTGCAAATAAACTTTGCTGTGTTGGATATTCTAATTTGCTTACAGCTGTATTCTGCCTGAGGACTTCATCTCTGTGCCTCTTTTCAGCTCTGCAGTAACAGTTGTACAACAAAAAGCTTTTTAGTATGTGTGAGTAAAGTAATGAACTTTTGATTCCAGAGTTGTAAGTACTTCAAATGGGATTTAGGCAAGGAATATACCTTTCCATGCCACTGTTAAACTGCCCTCCAACCTGGAACAGTCTAATGACAGAATGAATAATGTTTTCCCAGTTTTCATGGATTATCAATTTGTGTACTTTTAAATGTATCCTTTAGCATGGTCATTAGGTCTTCAGATTTCTGAAAGCAGTGGTCTCCTGAACACACAAACAAAAAATTACTAGCTTTTGACAGCAGTTAATTGAGCAGCATGCCCAGAAGCCAGCACACACCAGGATTTGTAGGTGTTTTAGTGACTGCTCACTTCTGATAGTCATAATTTTTATGCCTCTCAGCATGGATTGAAGTGTCTGACCGTGGGCACACAGTTGAAAGTACTTTCTTGCCACTTAGAGAAAACTGGTTTCTTGAGAAAGCAAAGAGCTAATGTTATAATATAAAATGTGGTTTGGGGACCATTACAAACTTGCATAGCTTGAATTTAGCCATTAATGTTTGTTTCGCTCTGTCAAATGGGTGTAAGGCCATGCTTGGGTGTGAGAGTTCTATGAAACTCCGTATTTAAGACTTTCTGAAATCAACAGTGAAGTGCACTGCAGAAGAATAAGACCTCAGGTAGATGTACCTCAGCTTTTTGGAGTCTGTATATTATTTCTAAAAGAGCCTTGTTTCTCATTCTCACTTTTGGTCCAAATAATAGGAAAATTGGTCTTAGTTAGAGCACACTTAGTTAGAGATGTATATGTAAATACTGTTTTCTATGCTGGCTATCATTTGCATGATACAGTAGATACCCTGGAGAGATATAAAACACTTACAAACATTTTCCTGGAAAGTATTAATACAAAAATGATATGAGAAATACCAATAAAACCGTTGGAATTTAGACTTGGAAGAGGTAAGGAGATCAGGTGATTAACCAAAGTCCTTAAGATGTAGAACACAGTTGTTTCCTCCTTGCACATTTATTTATTCTATTAAATCACTGCAGTTGGCTGTCATAAATTCTGGCTGTTTGAGATGGGTTTCCCATTGCAATTAGTTGAGTGACTGAAAACTCACTTTAGAACTTGCCTTAAAAATGGCCAAAGTACTGTTTAGGTGGTTATGATGTGCGTAAGATAAGGAGCTGTACTTTTATCTATTCAACCTTCTAACAGAAACATCAAAAGATTTCAGGGACAGCATTAAGCTAGGTAGAGGCTAACAAGGAATTTTGTTTCTCATGAATGGTGTAGGTGATGTTCTTTATTTCACTGGCTGATAAAAGATTGGACCAGTAGGTGAACACAATAAGAAGGAAGTATAGATTCTCAGCTAATACCTACATAAATTACTATATATAGTTGTATATAAGAATATATATAATAAATAGATGTGTAGAATAAATATATATACAGGCCATAACAAGAGAAACAAAGTATGAATTCTAGGCTTTAATTTAGGAAGTTCATAGGAATAGGATGTTCAAATGGAGATTAGCACAGCAAGGGTAGCCATGATAAATGATGACTTTAGAATACAGAGGTCAACAAAGAAGCAAAACTCAGACTACTGAAGGCACTTGTGCAGATGAGAACGAGAGGTGATGTAATTTACCACTGGGTATTTTCTGCATTCCCCATTCGTAAAAAAGAATTGGTAGTAAAGATGGAAAGAGGCAAACATGGCTACAAAAGGTGTATGTCTTTTACTTCATATGCAGTGCAGTTATGTCTTAACCACTTTTCTCTCTCATTTGAATGGAATGATACTAAGAGTAAAAAGGAAACAGAAGCTGTGGACCCATGAAACTCAGGGAGGAGTGGGTCATAAAGGAAATAGGTTCTCATCTTACCAAATGCCCTCTGAAACCTGGTAAATCCTTGCCCATAAGATATAGAAGTATTTGATTGTCCCATGAATGTACTTTTTGGTGTTAGTACCTGTAGTGTGAAAGACCTGTGTGGCATTGCTATCTCTAGCAGCAGAACTGTAGAGAGAAGGAATTTACCATTAAGAAAAGAGTTGCAATCTTCTTTACAAGTCAGTAACTGGTAATTTGAACCCCAAGACAATTTAGACTTGATGTGTCATATCATAACATAATCATGTATAATCTTCTTCACTGTGTATTAATTATTTAAGCATCATGCTAATGACTGTATTCACAGTGTTTAGAAATAATGTTTATATACTCAATCCCACTTTCCATGTTACCGACAAAGATGTTGAACAGTTCCCGTCCCAATACCGACCCCTTAGGGACACCACTTGTCGCTGGTCTCCACTTGACCATTGAGTTGTTCACCACAACTCTTCATGTTCAACCATCCAAACAATTCCTTATCCACCAAGTGCTCCATCTGTCAAATCCATGCCTCTCCAGTTCAGAGACAGGGATGTCATGCAGGACAGAGTCAAAAGTGCCTTGCTCAAGTCCAGGTAGATGACATCAGTTGCTTTTCCCTTTTCCACCAATGCCATGGCCCCACCATAGAAGCCCACCAAATTTGCCAGGCATGATTTTCCCTTAATGAAGCCATGTTGGCTGTCACCAATCACCCCCTTATTGTCCATATGCCTTAGCATAGCTCCCAGGGGGATCTGCTTCACGATCTTGCCAGGCACCAAGGTGAGACTGATCTGTAGTTCCCTGAATCTTCCTTTTTAAAAATGGGGGTTATGTTTCCCCTTTTCCAGCCAGTAGGAACTTCACCAGACTGCCATGACTTTTCAAGTACAATGGCTAACGGCTTTGCAACTCTATCAACCAGTCCTTCAGGACTCACAGGTGCATCTTGTCAGGTCCCACGATCTTCATGTTCCTCAGATAGTCTTGAACCTGATCTTCTCCTACAGAAGGTGGTTCTCCATTCTCCCAGTCCCAGTCTTTGCCTCCCATATGGCTGGAGCTCTTGCTAGTGAAGACGAGGCCAAAAGATTCATTGAGTACCTCAGCATCCTCCATGTCCTAGGTCACAAAGTCTCCTGTTCCCTTCCAGAGGGGTCCCACATTTTCCCTCATCTTACTTTTATTCCCAGTGTACCTCTAGAAGTTTTTTGTGTTGCCCTTAATGTCCTTAGCTAGATTGAGGTCTGATTATTAAAAATCACAATAATGCTGCACTGCATGCAAAGGTCAAAGAACATTTTCTTGTTATTAAAATTACTCAGAGTAATTGCACTTAATAAGTAAAAAACAGTTAAATGAAAGCAGGAGCTGTAAGATGATTTTATCCTTGTAAAATACACAAGTTATAAAACACAAGAATGCATTTACTGTGGGGAGGTTTCTTACTACCATTTATGATAGATAGGTGTTAGGGATGTTGTTACATAAAGTCTTAACTGATCCAAGCTGGTGTCACCACAGTCCTATCCACTCTCTCCTTCATATGCCTGTTCCATCTGTTGAGCTGGGTCAAGCATTTATCTGATCCCACAATGCAGCAGTTTGCAGACCCAAGCTGTATACAAGGGTAAAGTTACCAGAAAGGCCTTCGCCTTTCTTCGCCTACCCCTTACCAGTTTAGTCATCTCCCCTGGCACTTCAGATCAGCAGAAGGTGTCATACGGGAGCAGTGGCAGCATGCAGGTGAGGAACAGGAGGGAAGGTGGGAATGTAGCAACATGGCAACATTGCCTTGAGGTGTTTTAAACTGCCAGGAACCGCACCTGTGGGTTCCCATCCAGCACCTGCATGTGATTAACTGTGTCACCTTAGACACCTGGAACCTCAGTCACTTTCTCATTACCAGGAAAGCTACCCACTGGTGTTTAGTAGACTACTAGACAATGTGATCACCAAACAATACAGCAGCTGTAGGTATTTTGTCCACTAATACAGTCAACCTATTGACCCGGTGTCAACACGAGCACTTCAGTAGCAGTTTCAATTAGTAGGCAAGAAATACTTTAATACTCACTAGAGAAACACCCCATTTCCTTTAGGAACAAAGTTACAGCTTATAACGTGTTATCTGTGGTCTTTGATTTTGTTTATGAACTTTAAGAAAGACTGTGCAGGTCCCTTCAACCTTTTTCACGAGCATAAGGCAGTTAAGAAATGTAAGGAGTAAAGTAATCTATGTATCCTAATGGCACCCTTGTTTACATTCATTCTGTTCACCTAACAAGGTATGGCTTCCATGGAGAAACACAACTGCATGAAGGATAGGAAGCCTAAGGGTATACAAGCAATCAAACATTGTATTTTACAACAGTAGCTCACCAGGCTTTATTAGTGCAGACTTAATCTTGCAGCTCCAGTACAATACCTAAACTGCCATTTTCTCAGTTACATACCCACATTGGCAGAGATGGAGAATTATGTTTTCCAGAGGCAAGAGGCATCCCTTAGTACAGGGTGGGGTTTGGGTGAGGCTACAGGAAACCATCTGGCTTTCTTCTCTTTCACACTCAACTTGGCAGTGTGTACCTCTAGTGCCTCGATAGGGAAGCTGGGAAACTAGAACCAGTCAGACACAAAGGCCCATTTCACTCGTTCTCTGGGTGAATGGGATTGCTCCAACTCTTCAGGTGCTCTTTGATGTGTGTGAATGTGTGTATATACATATATATATAAATGAAATAGGCTTTACCTGATGTATTCCGAATCTGGCAAGGAAGAGTATGAAGAAAAAGCTTGGTCTGGTTTCTGCTCCTTGTAGTGTCCAAGCAGGGTGGGATTTTTTCATCAGAAGCTCTTTCCTTTTTTTCTCTGCTGCTTTTGTTCCATTGTGTACTCTGAAATATGAATTCAATCTTTAGTGGATTTTGTATTCTGGCCTTTTACCAAAAATTACAGTAAGGAATGCAGGTAAGAAACAGTAAATGTTCATTGTTAACATTTGGTAAGAACTGAATGGAATTTCAAGACACTTCACAAGGCTGAGGTAGTTTTCTTTGCTCAAAATCATGGAGTGCTCTGAATTGAGGAGCCTCTTAGAAAGACCTCAAGAATCCTAGCCAGTGATAAAATGAATTGAGTTTGGCAAACTGATGGTTGCTATTAACACTCTTTAGAAGTTGCTATTATTTGTTCAGCGTATTTGACCTTATGCTTGTATCTTATACTTCACTCTTACATTTGCTAGTATTTTTTGTATCTTATATTTACTTGATAACTAATATAGATGATACTTATGAAGCTAGTATGCAAATTAAGGTTGATGGCAGAAAAAAATCAAGTATCTGTACTCTTGATGAGTCTTTATCTTTCATGATACTTCATTAACTGCTGCAATAGTCAAGGAAAGGATGCCCCATATGACAAGATTCATTTGTAAACCATTATCAACAGAAACCCAGTACAAATCTGACCATTCTCAGAAACAGGCTTAAGAACAAGTATGCTTTTGTATTTAAGTCTGTGCTCTTGTATTTAAGTTTACAACAGCAGTCAGGTTCCTTTTTTTTTGTTTTAGCCTCATCTATCTAGGCATACAATCACAGGCTGGTTGGAGTTGGAAGGGACTTGAAAGCTCATCCAGTTCCAACCCCCTACCACAGGCAGGGACACCTTCCACTAGAGCAGGCCTTGAACACTGCCAGGGATGAGGCAGTCGCAGCTTCTCTGGGCACTCTGTGCCAGCACCTCAGCACCCTCACAGGGAAAAGTTTCTTCACAGGATCTCATCTCAGTCTCCCCTGTCAGTTTAAAGCTAGTCTCCCTTCTCCTTTCCCTATAGGCCCTTGTCAAAAGTCCCTCTCCAGTTTTTTTGTTGGCCCCTTTAGGCACTGGGAGCTGCTCTAAGGTCTCCCTGAAGCATTCTCTTCTCAAAGCTGAACAAGCCCAGCTCTCTCAGTCTGGCTCCACTGGGAGGTGCTCCAGCCCTCTGAGCCTCTTGGTGGCCTTTCCCTGTGCATCTTAAAAGCTCTGCACACACACCAGCTGATTTTTGTTTCTCATGCCTCCTAAGAAAACTTAAGACTGTCTATACTCATTTCCCCCCCTCTGAAAAGTATACTGCCAATCTTGGAAGTTAAAGCTGTTCCGCCTTCCCTGAATCCCTGAGGGATTCATTATGACACAGTGGGTTAAATGCCAGTGCTCCCTGTCCATCAGTGGTGCCACTACAGTAGCACCTGCAGTAACTGAAAACTCTTCCACTTGTACAGTTGATCAAGTGACGTTTGTTACTGTCATATGAGAAACCCATAGTGAACATAACATGATTATTTACTTCTGACAGAACATTTGCCCGTTGTCTACTTAGATGGGGGATCCCCATCAGTGCAGACTGATCCTCAGCTTTCCTTAATTCTTTGGCAGTACTATGTTAGTGGTTTGCCACTTTTCCACTGCTTCCTGCTCCACTGCTGTTCTGTGCTGCTCCCTCAGCAGCACCTGCACAGTCATGTCTAAGGGTACATGAAGCTCACCATAGAATTCTCTATCTTGTTTTTATTAATTACCATTTTTCAGAGGCATTTGTGATAGAGTCATAGAATAGTTTGGGTTGGAAAGGACCTTAAGATCATCCAGTTCCAACCCCCTGCCATGGACAGGGACACCTCACACTAAACCACGTCACCTAAGGCTCTGTCCAACCTGGCCTTGAACACCGCCAGGGATGGAGCATTCACAACTTTCTTGGAAAACCCATTCCAGTGCCTCACCACCCCCACAGTAAAGAACTTTCTCCTTATATCCAATCTAAACTTCCCCTGTTTGAGTTTGAACCCATCACCCCTTGTCCTATCACTACAGTCCCTAAAGAAGACTCCATCCCCAGCATCCTTACAGGCCCCCTTCAGATACTGGAAAGCTGCTACAAGGTCTCCATGCAGCCTTCTCAGATGGATCCCTTCCACCAATTTGGTGGTTTGTTTTGTTCTGGAGCTAGTTTAGAGGCTTTATAACAACGTGCTAGCAAGTTGGTTGTGCCATATTTACATTCTGACTGCTCAGCTGTTTTTTCTTAAGGAAGATTTTAACTCAATTTCCTAAATGTGATTAAAAGAACAGTGCTTGGGTAAATATAAGAGGCAAGGCATTAGGTGAAGTAATCATAGATTCTGATGGAAACATCGTTTCAGAGCCAGAACCCCCTCAGAGTGGCGATTGGGAGAAGAGAGGGGAACACCAGAGTAAGCATGTGGAACCCAAGGAAGTTCATGTAAGTTTTGGAGTCCTGAAGCTTTTGCTGTTGCCATTTGCATTGTGATCGCTGTTAGAACACACTTAGAGGTGTTTATTTTTAATTTGTGTTTGTATGTTAGGGTAGAAAATAGGCAGCATTGGACTGAATTGCCTTACCTCTGCCCCTTGCCCGCCCCCCCCCAAATCTATTCCCCAGAGAAAATTTGGGCAGACCCCAGTACTAAACCGCTTGATGATCGTTTCGTAGATCTTTTCAAGCGAACACGTTATCACCAGGACAACACCGATTTAAACGGGACACGTTTACTTTTCTTTCCCAAACCTCAGGTTCTCTGTGGGACGGGGAAAACGATCTCGGATAGAAGATCCGCCCCTCTCCGCCATCCGCCGCTCTCCCCGAAGCAGCCCTCTTCCTCCCGCCGTACCACGGGGCTCTCCGCTGGGCTGGCTTTGCGAACGGGCGCCGATGGCGGCGCGTCTTCAGAGCCTCCAGGCAGCTCCCTCAGCACCGGGCGCCCCGCCTGACCGTGCGCACGAGCCTGCGCGACCAATCACAACCCACCTTCGCCCCGCCCCTAGGCTGCCAGGTCCAATGGAGTTTAAATGCTTCCAAACCAGCCAATCACGAGCGATGGCGACCGGGAGCCGCGACATCGTTGCCAACAAGGGGAGGTCCGTATGGCGAGCGACGTCGTGGCGGAGCCAATCAGCGTGCTCGGGGGGCGTTATCTCTTGAGCGTGCGCTAAACGTCCGGTGGGCGGTGCTAGGTTTGAATTGCGGCGCGGCTGGTGTCAGGTACGCTCCGGAGCGGAGCGACCGCTGCTGGATTCTGGGCAGCGTTTAAGAGTGAGTGACCGGTCGGTCGGGGCTCTTTGTGGGTGTCAGGCACCCCGAGCGGGCTGCTGAGCTGCGGTGTGTCCCTGTGGGGCGTTTCCTGAGGGTGGGAGCAGGGGTGTTCCTAACAGTCCGAGCTCCCCAGGCTGGGGTGGACTCTGCCCGGCCGTCGTTCCTCTCCGTTTTTAGTTATTCTGGGGTAATTTCTTCTTTATAAATGACTTCCGAGCTATGCTGGTATATCGGGGAAGTAAGCCCGTACCGGGTCAAAGTGAAGCGATGGGTTTTTGCAAAGCTTTTGGATTAAATGCCGCTGAAGTACAATGCTAATGGTTTTCTGCAATCTAGCATAAGGTATGGAGAGAAACTTTCTGAAATACAGCAGCCAAATGCAGTTATACGAATATAAACCCTCTTTTTGTTAGATTGATCGATGTTAGGTTTTAGATTTTAAGCTGAATGAAAGTGTGTCAAAATAGGACTTAATGTTAAAAGCTGCTGCTTGGTATGTAGATCACAAAGCCTATACGGTTGTGAAATACTGTGTTCTAATCGCTACTAAGGTTAAAAATGCAGTTTGCTTTAAAAGGCTTGCTGAAAGATAAATTATCTGTCTTTCTGTTTCAGGTATAGCGCTGTCTGTTCTGTATTAAACAAGAATCGTGTCAGCATGAGCTGGGCTGTGGAGGAATGGAAAGAAGGTGTCGCCCCCAGAGTCCTTCAGAAGATTCATGAGCTGGAAAGTCAAGTGGACAAGCTTAGAAAGGAGCGTCAGCAAAGACAGTTCCAGTTAGAGTCTTTGGAGGCAGCTCTGCAAAAGCAGAAGCAGAAGGTAAGAGAGGCCCTGTGGTCATTGCAGGTTCTCTGAGCAACGTGTTCCAGTGCCTCACCACCCTCACAGTAAAGAACTTTTTTCTTAGATCTAACCTGAACTTCCCCTGTTTACGTTTAAACCCATTGCTCCTTGTCCTATTGCTGCAGTCCCTGATGAAGAGTCCCTCTCCAGCATCCTTGTAGGCCCCATCCAGATACTGCAGGCTGCTCTGAGGTCTCCATGCAGTTTCTCTTGTCCAGGCTGAACAGCCTGAGCTTTCTCAGCCTATCTTCATAGAGCAGGTGTTCTAAACCCCCCTTGTCATCCTGGTGGCTTCCTCTGGATTTACTCCAGCAGCTTCATGTCCTTCTTATGCTGAGGACACCAGAACTGTACGCAGTGCTCCAAATGGGGTCTCACCAGAGGACCACGCCTTGGATCTGCTTGTCACACTTCTTTTGATGCAGTCCAGTATATGGTTGGCTTTCTGGGCTCAGTTGTTTATGTTTACTTTGAGGCTTTGCTACATCTGTTTATGATTAGGAAAAGTAATTTATGCCTGTTTAAAATCTTGATAATGACTAGTCCTGTTTTATATAACAGCTGCACAGTTGACAGCCTCTTGCTGTTCCACCTTGCCTGCAGATCCCTTTCATCTTTTACTTAGTTTATGTAATTCTCAGTTGAGTGGTTTTGTTTGTTTTGTTTCTCTCCACCCCCCACCCCCCCCCCCCCGACTGTTTCTGGGGTTTCAGTTTCCTTTTTTTGGGCTGTAGTTTTATGCTTCATCTGACTATACTGTCAGCCAGGAAATCGGAGACCGTTTTGATCAGGGTCCTGCTGTGCTTCAGAGCGGAGGTGACCCATTTAGTTGCATATTGTTTTGTAATGTTTGAATACGGCTCAAAGGCAAATTACAGAGACTGCCTTTTATTCCCTTTAGGCTGATACAACTTTCTAGCAAAACTTGAGCCTTGTAGGTTTCTTTGAGTTTCTTCCTGTGAGTTTCCTCAGCCATCCAGAGGAACTGCTGTGCTCCCATAACACAAAGGGCTGTGCTCAAATAGGAGTGCTTTAAGACTTGTAAGCAGTAGTTAATACTACTTTCAACCAGAAGAATAATGTTGTGCAAAGCTCTAGCCTGACTGTGCCTGTCCCTCAGAAGCTGTAGGGGAGGAGGATGTCTACT